GTCCCTTTCCTCCAAGTCAATCAAAGCACTAATTGCATCATAATCATGGGAAGCAGCGGTGACTGCTCGTGTGCAAAAGACTCAGCAATCAACTCATAACACTCTGCTCACTGTCCCGAAAGAGAAAGCTTCCCTGTGCAGGGATGGGAATTTCCTCCAATTCACATTTCTTCAGCTGACTCTGACTTTTTTGGTTTGCAGGGCGATGACTGCACCATTACCTGCATGGCAGGAACCTACGGTACCAATTGCTCATCGGTTTGTAACTGCAAAAACGATGGTGCGTGTTCCCCTGTGGATGGTCTGTGCTACTGCAAAGAAGGTAAGCAAAATTCAGATTTAACAATTGTCTACAATTTGGCATCAGTGCTTCTCCCCTTTTAAAGTGGCACAGTTGTGCAGTCAGTAGCTCCACTATTTTCTTGCGCCTGTCAGTAATTCAACAGTCTGCCCAAGTATCCAAACTCACCAGGGGCTTGTCTGGATGTTTTGTCTCTGCCCTGAACGGGGGCCAGACCTCACTGCTCTGCTGCAAGAACAGGTCACAGAACCAAGCGTGCTGGCAGAGCCACAGCTCCTCTCCAGAGGAAATGCAAAGCAATCCCCAGGCTGTTGGAGTTTTTTCTTTATCACTTTGCTGCCCCATTTCTCCAGGACTCAAAAGCCCCTGTTCTCCCCTCCATGCCTGGAGTGACACAAGGGAGCAGAGGCAGCCTCCTGCCTGGCTTTTCTTTAGCCCGTTGCGCAGGACTGTGCCTGGCCATGGTTATCCACACCAGACCTGATGCCTGGCTCAGCCACGGGCTGGGCTCACTCCCGTAGGCTCTCCTGGTGAGCTGGGCTCCTAGCCCATCCCGGCTGCTAGCCCTACGCTCAGGGACTGTGGGGTGCGCCCTGGCTGTCTGCCATCCTCAGGTCCCCGTCTGTGCTGTGCCCTGACACTGTGACACTCCAGCCATGTGCAGTGTCTTCTGTCCCCTAAGCCAGCGTGGGGGTGCAGGGTGTGGCTGTCTTTGATCTTGGGAAACAAGAAGTCTTTCCTGCTCTGGAGTCTCTCTGCAAGACTCACCTCTTTTCTTCCCACACGTGTCCGTAATTCCCTTCCGTGCCTGATGATAGCGAGCATAACCCACGCGTCCAGTAAACACTTGAGAAATCTCCCACCGCGCCCTAGCACAGTGTCTCTTATGTTCCCCATGTGGCAGTGCCTTCCCCCAGAATACCGACGTGAGCTCTGCCTGTATGGCATACATAAGCCCTAAAACAGAAGTGAGGCAAATAATGATAAAATCTGGCATTTCAAACATGAATTAATGGATGACTGTAGAACCCCATTTAATGAGGGTGCATAAACCATGAGTTACTGCTCAACTCCATCACATACAGCTGCAGCGTAATGAAAGCCATTGTGCAGCTGGTAGTTCAGATTTGAGCCTTAATGGTTAGAAATGATGGCCTTGGTCTTTTTTTAGATGTAATAGCTTCTTTATATTAAAGAGCATTCTCAAAAAAATATGAGGGAAGAAACAGGCAGCATCGAATGGCAAATTTCCTGCGTTCTGGCTGATCATCAGGTCTCCAGCCTATAGGTGGTACCTATAGCACCCTTCTGTACGTGTAGGTGCTGGTAGATGAAGTCATATTTAAAGGGCCAATCTTGGACCCAAAGGTAGTCTTAATTGACACCAAGATCCGGAGGAAACTGGTCCTAGAAACAAAGCTGCAGTTTGCAAGCTGCCTTTCTTGCTGTCTCTACCTTACTTTGGTGAAAACATCCCAAACACTGTTTCTCTCACATTTTTCTGTAGGGTGGCAAGGAGTAGATTGCTCTATTCCGTGTTCGAGTGGAAGCTGGGGTCTTAACTGTAACCAGACGTGTTCCTGCACAAATGGAGCAGCCTGCAGGCCTGCTGATGGCTTTTGTCTCTGCTCGCCGGGATGGCAAGGGGACTACTGCGACCAGCCGTGTCCTGTAAGTACAGCTGGCACGGTCCTGCATCCCCTTAAAACCATAGCTCACACAGCTCTTCTGAATGTGCAGGTGGTCGGTGTCTCGTTTTGTCTGTGGATATCTGAAGGAAATCATGTACGTAACAGATTGGGGCTCTAGCAGTCAAGTAGATGTATTATACTTTGCATTGTATTTATCAGAGCTATTGCTGTGTTATCTGCATTTTCTTGAACATCATTTTTTAAAGTGATTCCTCATTTGGTTCTATAGAGAAATGTTAGGCACTGGATTGTTTCTCTCTGCTCTGTATGTTAATTTTAAAAATGCGACTCAGCATTAGGAGGGACATGATAGATGATTTTGCACATTTTAGAACAAAAAACTGATTACTGAGGGACTTTTTCATTTATATTTTTGCAAGGATGGAACATATGGTCTTAATTGCAGTGAACGTTGTGACTGTAGCCACGCAGATGGGTGTGATCCTGTCACCGGTTACTGCTGCTGTCTTGCGGGCTGGACAGGTAAAATTGGCAATTACCTTTTTAAACCTTGGGGGTTTTGTTGGTTTGGGTTTTTTTCAGGTTTTTGATGAGTTGTTTTCCTTTGCTATTGCATCCGTTGTAGCACTGGGCTTGTGACTGCAAATTTTTAAATAATAGATTGAGACAAGATCAGCGAACTTACCCGTATTTACATCACTCATGATGGTGACAATAATTGGATTTGTATTCAGATTAGCTGAGATGGCTCCAAACCTGGAGCCAGATGTCAGCCTTCTGTAGAAAGAATCCTCAGGAGGGTGGAGATCATCTGGAAATCCTGCAGAGTTTTTCTCCTTGAGTGACCCTTTCCATGGCGGTGGTTGTGGTATGATGAATTCTGGGACCATCATACCTGGGGATGCAGAGAGGTGTTTTCTGAGTCGTTACAGCTGCTCCATCATACAAAACCCAGTTTTGTCACAAAACATTGTCTTTGTGCTTTTTCCCATGCTTCTTATCACACAGAAGGGCAGTTATGGAGAGCAGATTAGTGCAAATTTGACATGGAGTTCTCATGATCACACAGAGGCAGAGAGGAACGTCCAGTGAAGTGGCAGAGTCCAGGCTGGAGATCTCAGACCTTCGCTCGACTCCGTGCTGATATGTCTCTTTGCCAGCTTTGGCCAGCTAACACAACAGCAGCAGGGGCAAGTTATCGACCCAACCCGTATTTCACACTTAGCTGCCTGAAGTTAATCTCCCCCAGCTCTCTGTAGAGTTCCTGGAGGGAAATGAACTTATATTTGTGCCCATAACTGCAGAACCACCAGAGGCACTGACAGCCAAAATGCATTTATATTAACAGCAATTCATTTGGAAAATTTAATTGCTTTTCAAACAAGTTGGAAGAACGTACGGAGCAGGGCAGGCTGATCAGGCAGCCAGCATTTGGGGTGCTGTCACCTTACCCCTTCGTTTGTGCTCTAAACCAATGCGTCCCTTCTGTTCCTGATGGAGAGAACATCACCACAGGAGCTCAGCTCCCAGAAGTGTGGAGCAGAAGCAATGAAATAATACCTAGAACTTCCAACTTAAGAATTAAATAAAATGCAGAAATAGGAACTTCTACACGCTGCTTACAACAAAGTTACTTTCCGAAGATACTGGGCATGCATCCCTGAAAAGGGCATTTTGCCCACAAGAAAATCCATTTTGTAAACTCACTAATATCCCCTCCTCCAGGTTGCTTTCTTCACTCCCTGCACTGCATTCATCTTTCTCTGAGCCTCTTTACCGCCAGTATATCCATCTATCAGGCTTTAAAACTCTGCTGTGCATTATTGATGATCATCAGACAAACAGTTGGTAGCTTTCCTGGAGTCACTGTGAGTGTCTTCAAGGGAGAAAATGGGTTTTGAAAGTACAGTAAATTAAAGAGATACACGCTTACTCTAAAAGTTTATTGCACATCTTTCTGGATGTGACATTCCAGAAGAAACTGCAGAAAATGGACTTTGCAGACAACTCAGACTGAATGTGTGGCTTTTTCTCAAAGGCATTTGCAGCAGATACTCTGTACTTACTCCCATGCACATCTGTAGATGTACATCAAACGCAGATACAAATTGCTTGAAGTAAAGGTAAGAATAATTTCTATGATTTTTATTTCCATGTTGGGCAAGATAAATGTGTGTTAACTTGCAGGGGATGTACTGCAAACTAAGCACTTTATCCCTCAGTGTGTCCCTGCAGTTCTGCAACTTCCTTCTTCAGGATCACGTTTCAGGGAGAAAAATATGTTAGTATTCGAGACCAGGTTGGAGTTCAGATGGTGACAGAGCCACGTAAGGTGTGTGCTGGGAAAGCCGATAGACAGCCAGAGCCAACATGTGTTTTGTCAGTTCTGCTTCCAACGGTTTTTCCACTTGGCTTAGCACCAGGCACAAGGATAAATTCTTCTGCTCGTACTAGTTTGAAAGTATGTAACTTCAGAAACTCTTCAGCTCTATAATTATATTTTCATCTTAAGGAGTATAGCATCAGTGAAAGATTAAACGTGTCTGCAGTTGTTGTGAGCTGGGCCATGGTGTGTATTGCTGTGCATTTTATAAATATGACGTAATAAATAATTCAGGCTTAAAGTTTTGCTTTCTGAATTTGGTACTAATTAGGCATGGCTTGAAAAAAGATCAGAAAAGTTCAGGATCATGGAACATCTGAAGGTTTTCCTGCCCACTCAGAGCAGACAGAGCATCCATGTGGCCCTCTGATCCTAATAGCCACAAAACTTCATCTGAAACAGCGAATTCTGTATGTTCAGCCCACACGCAGGACTCCCTCTTGATGTCAGCGTTCAATGTAAGGATCAAGGGGAAGACTGAACCCATTTTCTTTAAAGCGGTTTTCAATATGTTACTGCTATAAACCTTCTGAGGCTGAGAGATGGTAGGAGCATGGAGAAAGTCTAGGAAAAGAAGAAAAAAGGCATGCGAAGAGTAGCAGACAATGTAAGTGAATAGCAGTCTGCCATCCTTGTCTTATCACCACCACCCATCAAGACATTCAGGACAATGCCCCTCCCTGCATACCAGCTGGGGGAAGGGAAGTTTCAGGAGCTGAGTGTACCTGGCAGAGGGGAAGATGATGAAGAGATTCCCTGGTATCCTCCAGGAGATCACAGAGCTGTGCAAACCAGCTGCATGCATAAATAAGCACACAGGCAACAAGCTGCTTAGAGACAGTTTCCATTCAGTTCAGCGGGGAATTGCACATGTGCAGCCAAAGGCAGAAGAGAGATCAGATCTGACGATGATTGCGCCCTGTCGCGATGGCTGAAAATCACCCAGCCGGGTCCCCAGGCACACTGTATCACGAATGGCTTTGTAGACAGCACGGCAAGCGTAACATTGGTACATAAAAGACCAAAACCATGCTGGCAAAAGGCTCTCGTGTGATACAAGCAAAGTGAAACTCGGCCAAATGTGGGCCAGAATCAGGTCTGTGACCTGCTGACGCAGTGCACAGCTGGATTTTCCTCCACATGAGGGAAATGTCAGATGCAATAACAATAAGGAGTTCTTCAGCTTGCAGTGAGTGGTGTTCTCCGCCTTGCACCACTCCTGCATACGTGCAACCTCACATATAGAAATAGTACCCCTGGAATCAAAAGAAGACGTGTTTGGATTTATTGCGAGGTTAAAGAGCGCGGCCCCCAGCAGGACCAAGTCTTGACTGATTAGACTGATTGTTTTATAAAGATTAATAAGTCTCTCTCACTCCAGGTTTGCCATGCATTTCAGATACGCATCGCTTCTGTGCTTGCAGCTCTGTGTCTGTGTGTATGTGTGCACACAGGTACCTTAAAGCTCCCAACATACCAGTCATTTGTGGAAAAAGTGTTATTTTGCCTACATTCAGGTTAAAATGAAAATGCTTGAAAATTGAGTGCTTCTGGGCTAATTGCATTTGGTTAATTAGGGATCTTGCACACGCTGAATACTCAGAGAGGGAATGGAAGCATAGAAAACCTACGTGGTGGAGCTTCTCCTGGAAATCCTTCGCAAGCAAACAGGTCCTAGCAAAGCAGGCATCAGTCGTGTCTCGCCCAGATGCAACCTTCTCTCGTGGATGCTCAGGGATGGTGATAAGCTCATAAATTTCAATTAACCTCCTCTTCCTTAATAAATAACCTGAATCTGGACAGAAAAGGACCGGCTGCCCTGGCAGCCTTGCTGGGTGGGTCAGGAGCTGGGGAGAACATGGGAAGGTGATGTTCCTCTGTTAGGTGTGATGCTGCACAGCTTTGGACCTCCCAGCTCCACCTAAGCCATCTGGGTTTTGCAAAGCTGAACCGAAACCCCGTCAGCTTGGTCCTCGCTCCTCAAGGTGGCTGCTGGCAGCACGTTTTGTACCAGCAATGGTTTCCTCCCAGATACCACCTAGTTATTACTGCACAGCCTTTGGCTGGTTCACTCGGTACAACCCTCAATAACTGCGTTGGTCACAGTTTCTGGAGGTGCTCCCTTTGTGCCTGACCTGAGCCGGGTCGGACTCCGGGAAGCCAGGCTTGGCCGTTGCTCATCCTGGCTCTAGGACGCGAGTCCGTCTGATTTCACAGTCGGACATCCCGCTCGCACACAAATGACAGAAAGGAAAGCCACAGGCCTGGCTGATATTCACAGCACCTCCCCGTAACGAGTCAATGCGCTTCGAGTTAATTGTGGCAGTGTGTGTTTTGTTAACCTTTCCCGTGTTACAGCGAGGTTAAATAGGAAGCGATCTGCAGGGGGATATGTTCCATTCCTGTAAATGCGAAGGGCAGTTACAATCCTGTTTATCTGAATTCCTTTGATCTGAAATGCTGTCTTATCCAAATCTTGTTTCTGTCTGTCTGGTTTTTGTGTCGTGCTCTGGTTTTTATAGAACGCTGCAGTACGATGCTGTCTCAATTATCCGCTGAACTTGTTTAGTCAGTAGCTGTTCAATCAGAACAATCCGGAGCCGAAGTTAATTCAGTGGAGTTTCACATCCCAAAAATGTGTGGGGAAAATAGGATGGTACTGTAGATGTAAGATGGAAAATATAGAAACGTGCATCCCATAGTTAATTATAAAAGAGCCCCTCATAGGTTTTCCTTAATTAATCAGGATGGCAAGCACAGGGGTGGAAATGATACGTGCCGGTAAGGAAGAAACATCTGGTTATTGCGTTGGTGCTTTTCACCTTCAGGTTCATTCATGGCTCCTACGAGCAGCCTCCCTCTTTCCTGGTACACAAAATATGTATTTCACTGTCCTTTACAACCTCAATAACAGCAACACAAACCCTAATTGTCTCTATCGTGTCCAGCAATCCCGTGCAGTGGTTGTAGTCTCCAGTTGCGGGGTTTCGGCGTGCGATCGGCCGGGGTTGGGAGCGCCGGCTGGCCCCAGGTAAGGTGAGCTGGGAGCAAGGAGACTTCGCGTCGGGGAGAATTTGCAGGCGGCGAGTGACATCCGCACTGTCACTCAAACACAGAAACACGCTTCTTCCCTCCTGTG